CGTACCCCAACTGGTTAATTTTTTGTGGGATCAACTGTGCGATGTTCGGTTTCGCATTGTCGTAAAGCAAAATTGGTTCTTTCTATTGACTAATGCTAGATGCAGTTGTCGAAATGTGAAGTGCATTTCGTCCATTTGGTGACAGTTCACCTCTGCCGTAATCGTTTCACCCAGAGTCAAGAAACTGTGATGAATGAGCTCGGACACAAACCACCGTCGCCCTCTTTTGGTGTAATTTGGCTTTGCAAAATGTTGTGAGGCTTACTCGTGTTCCAACCATTGAGCTGACCGCTTTCGATTGTCGTATGTACCCATTGTTCATCACACGTTACTATCTGGTCGATAAAAAGATCACTGTTATTGCGCAAAATAAGCGAAGAAGCAACTTTAAACCGACGGATTTTCTAGCATTCGTTTAATTCATGGGTTCCACGTACACGAACCAACGAACTGGTTTACCTTTTTTGACGTACCAAGTTCTTACAGGTGGTAGGATGATTCCAATTGTAACACCTAAAGCTCCTCCAAGTTCTGGAACTGTTGTACGTGGGAGCCTTTACTTCGGTAGAAGTGAATCCGAAATATAAGTTATTATTGAGGAAAACATATTTATAATTTTTATTTTTTAAGCATGGAACTGCTCGATGTTTAAATCTAAGAAAATACTACTAGAAAAAATTCCACGCGGACCAGGCAGTCAGAGGCCCGTCGGCTACCTGGTCCTGGTTTTTTTTTCTAGTAATTTTTTTAGAAAACATATTTTTCAAAAAACTGCCATTTATTTCTAAACAACCTAATACATAGATAGGTCTCACAATATTATATTTAATATGTTTCAAATACATGAAATTAAAAAAATGGGTGTAGTAGCACGGTAAGGAAACAAGATGAAAATATTGTTTGGTTTGGATATTGCATGTGTGGTATATATACACACATCAAAAGTGTCTAGGGATCAAGCATTTTTATGCGGATTTCTTGAGATTGAGATGTGGCTTTGTAATAAATTTATGATTTTATAAATTTATATGGATCCTTTTTGGTGCATTTCATAATTTGAATCAGGAACTGTGAATCAAATTCGAGTAAAAGATGAAAATCAGCTGTCAATATTTTCCCTATAAAAACATACAACGCATTGAAGACATTATTAGTGCTACTGTTTCCCTACTACTGATTAAAACCAACGTTATTATGGAGCGGCGACGTCATTTAAGCAGGGAAGAAATGCTCAGAGCCGTGGGAATGATAGAAGCTGGTTCCCGGCAACGTACTGTGGCTTTAGCTCTGAATACAAGTCAGAGTGTTATCAGTCGACTTTGGACACGATACCGAAGCACTGGTACCGTGGCTGAGCGCCATGGAGGACGGTATCGCTGCACCACACGGAGACAAGACCGATACATTCAAATCTTAACTCGAAGAGCTCCAACAATAACCGCCATGATGTTAGCCGTGAGGCTTCATCACTCTTCAGGGAACTTAATTAGCGACCAAACAGTCAGAAACCGCTTGCATGAAGTGAACCTTCATTCCCGAAGACCGCTACGGGTACCACCTATAGCAATGCACAATCGTAGGATTCGATATCAATGGGCTCTTGAACACAGAAATTGGGCAGAAGAACAATGGCGTTTCGTGTGCTTTTCTGATGAGTCTCGTTTTGGTATGAGACCGGATACAAGACGTATACGACACTGGAGAACCCCTGGACGCCAACAGCGATTAAAATCCTGCCAGGAAGTCCATCCTTATAGTGGTGGAACCATCATGGTATGGGCGGGTATTTGGATCGGCGGAAGAACTGAGTTGATTTGGATCAGAGGCAACCTCAACGCTCAAATTTATGCTGAGACGATTGTATCAGACGTCATCGTTCCTCTACAAGTGCAAATCGGTCCCTTATTTCAGTTAATGCATGATAATGCACGACCGCACACCGCAAGAGTTGTAAGACAGACTCTCGCCGCAGCTAACATCAATGTCCTGCCCTGGCCTGCTCAGTCGCCAGACTTGAACCCGATTGAGCATGCATGGGATATGCTACAGAGAAGAGCTCTGCCGAATATGGAGGGTATCCAGTCGCAAGAAGACCTTTTTTTGTTGTTGCAACGAACATGGGCGGCCATTCCACAGCGTGATTTGGATGAACTCATTTTGAGTATGCCAAACCGATGTTCTTGTGTTGTTAGTGTTCGCGGTAGAAATACGGATTATTAATTGTTTAAGTTACCCAATAAAATTTTAGAGAAAACTGTTATTTCAGTCTTTTTTTCGAACTTTTGTGTTAGTGGTTCAAATGTCAAAAATCCCTTTATTAGGAAAATGGCAAATTTCTTTATTAATGCAAAGGTGACTTGGTTTATCGTTACTGTGACAAACGAAAACACTTTATTTGATGAATCCTTAAAGAAAATTTTAATTAATATCAATCAGGAGAAAAGTTATTGCAAAAATATATGTTGATCCCTAGACACTTTTGATGTGTGTAGTTTATTTCCGTAATTTCCTGTTATCTGATTTTTTAATTACATCGTATTTTATAAGTGTTGATTACACTTTGTTGTTGCAATTTGAATGTATATGTATATGAATCAAAGAAACAAAATAAAAAATAAAATGTTAGACATTATGTAAGCTGGTAACGAACGATATCATTAAAGTATTTTTAAGAGGATTACGAATCCCCACTGGGTACTTTAATGATATCGTACACTAAAATATCCATAGGGTCGGTCGGCACACCAGCAGTGAGGACAATAATAGGCTGATTATGATCATTAAAGTACTTAACTCTTTACTTTGAACTTAGAATCGAATTTAAGTTTAAATTAAATCTCAATACATTACTGGCATTCCTCCTGATTTATGGGACACTGTTTTGGCAATTGAAAACAGTATTATTTAACTTTTTGATTGAATTAAATTCGGAATTTTCGGGGGAAGCTCAATTTTACGGTCTACCGGGTTTGTTTCGGAGTTGCAAAGAAGTGTTTCAGTGTAAGCCTTCATTGAAATAACGCAAAGGTCGGATTTGTTGAAGCGGTCAACCGGAGTATTTCTCGTCTCAGCGAACGCAACGTTTCTGGAATTGAATTGATACGTTACTTAAGGGTACTCTAATGATAATAATTACATAGGTATTTTTTTATGAATTTCAGCTATAAAAGTATTTCGTTTTATGTTTTTTTTTTTTAATATTTTTTTTTCAATTTATTTATTAATTAATTTGCATACCATAAAAACATCATTACAGCACAAAAACCTTAAAGATTATCTGTGCTGCAGAGTCGCTCCACAGCCAGTCACGCCAAACAGCCTGTCTGGTTTTCTAAATAATATTTTTTTTAATATTTTAACAAAGGGTCTCGAAGATTTTATTTTATTTTGAATAGCCTCTGATAGTTCATTGGTGAATAAGGGTAACAAATACTTAGAAGTTCTGGTACCATAAATATTGTTGAAAATTGTAGTAATAAATAAATTATTATTTTTTAAGTTCCTAAGATTTAATGGTCTTTGATAATGGATTAACATTTTGTCTCGGTCAGTCTGCTCTTTAAGGATGAAATACTTAATTTTATCATATACGTTGATTACATTACAGTGCTTAAACAATCCTTTATCGTCATCTTTGTACTTTAATTTAATTATACTTATTTTACTTTAATTTAATGTAAAAAAGTGTAACCCGCTTGATGATATTTAATAAATCAGTATCTTCTTTTACCTATGTTACTTTTAGTTTACAGATACTCTCTAAAAAAATCCGTGGTAATAGTTAAATTGTATGTATAATTTGTTTTTCTTACTGTATTAACATTCTAAGTATCATACAAAAATCAAATTAAAAGGATAACCTTTGCTCGCTTAATAATTAGCAACGAATTTTATTAGCATCTCCCAAACAAAATTCGCCATCTACTTATTGGTTTTGCTACTGATACAATAGAAAGTCATTGTACTGATTCAACAGACAGAGGTCACGACTAATCGCAGTGTGTAATTATGAATTCTATATTAAGAAAATCTACATAGTCCTTAATTTATATACTTGGTTTCGATGGTCAGAACCTTGACAATTATAAATGATAAGTTTATTCAAGTCTTTTTAATTATCAATAAAAACTTTATGGTGTTATATTTTTATTTTTTCTGCTAGATGTTCAAATCTAAAGCAATTTTTTTACTAGAAAAAAATCTATGTGGACCAGGCAGCAGGTGGGACTTAAACCTGCACCCTACGCTATCCACGCGGATGCAATAAAGCCGAGTACTCATTAGCGAGCTGTAACCGTAACCGTTGCATGCACTGTAACCAAAAAGCATAGTGTGAGCGCGGTTTTCAGCGAGCCGACGTTTACAACTGAGCGTACACACTAGAACCTCGTACTGTATCACGCATGTTATGGTTACAGCTCGCTAATGAGTACCTGGCTTAACCATTATGCTACCGCGACCCTAATGACCATGTCGAATTTTTTTAGTATTTCTTAGGCTGCAAGGCAGGGGGCTCTTCATTTAATCATCTAGCAGTTAAATGATGAAAAAAGAAATATAATAAATACTTATTCAATGATTTGGAGTTCCACAATTTTTGCATGCATCTATGATTTGTCTCAGCAAAAATTTGGTACATTAAAGCTGTAAGCTACGCTGCTACTGACTTAAGCGCCCAAGCATTCTTGAATGGGCATAGGGCATTGGATGGAGTAACTGATAGGGTGTAGTCGAACGTATTGTGTAAAAGTACTTATCAAATTGTTTTATTGCACAAAATCAGTTCGCAATCATCAACTCATCAAGTCGCGCGTACTCATAGCAATTATTATTTTATAGTTATTTTTAGTTCTTTCTCCAAATATACAGTTTTATACTACAGTATCAGCATATCATTTATTAGTTCCAACCCGAACAATGCCTTAAGTTTAAGCACCCACTCCATACATACAAAGTTAGTAACATTACGGATATCATTAACCCTATTTCTTTCTTTTCAGATCGGACTGATGTTGTCAAGAGCCGAAGGTCCAAACTCCTTCCATAGGCAGATGTCGTGAGCTCTGGCCCCGGGAGCACACGACGTCGGCGTGATGAGCACAACCCGCCATAATGCGTCGGCGGCCATTTTAAACCGTGAACGGCGCTGGTCGGCTCAAGATGGCCGTCACCCGCGGCGCCAAAACTCTTACACATCCCGCGCAGTGGCGCGTTCCCACACAGTACTATGAAATGTGGAAACACGGGAAGTGGCGACAGAAAACGTCACGACCAAGGACAAACGCAGCTGTTAGAGTGCCCAGATAGAGACATTGTACAGTGATATCCGTAGAGGCCTAAGTGTTACTTTTGTGTAAATATAGTGGTGATTAGATGTTAAGTATGGCTGGCGAAGGGCGAGGAAGTCGCACGCCGCTGCTGGAGTGCGGTGGCGAGTATGCGCACGCACACAAGACGACGGCCCCGCGTTGCTGCTACTGGCTGGCCAGTCACGTCAATGTGAGGAAGTGTGTCGCTGGCATCATGTTACTATCCGTCCTCACGATATTCTTCTATACGTATTACGTCACCGTGCCGTTTACAAGGTTAGTAAACTTACACTACCCACATAGATACTGTTTGTTAGATGACAATTCTTTTATGTATCCGGCTCGAAGGGCCAAGATGATGAACCTCAGTACTCGGATCCCTAGTGTGGACTGTTTATAGGTTGCCGGATTCAAAACGATGGTTTTTGCTTTACTACTTTGGAGTTCTTTATTCTTCTAGTTGTTTCCACAATGACTGTTCCTGCAGACTATAATTTGACTTACTATTTATTATTTTATGCCCGACGTCAAGAGCATGAACACCCTCCGGAAAGCGGGGGAGGGAGGTGGAAAATGATTTATCCATACCTCAGAGCTGGCTGCAGGGTTATGTCTGACTCTTACTGACTAAAAGCACCTGGAGAAGCTTCTAGCCGAGAAGGCTTTTAAGGCGACATCGGACACGAACACCCCTTAGGAGGGGATGACGCAAAATTTGCCTTACAAATCATGCGTCTCATATACTAATTTGGCCTTGGTCGTTCGGAGTGCCCGTTCACAATGCTGAGTTTATTGCGCGTCCCTCAAAAAGTAGGCTTTCTGATTGCCGGCGCCTCACGCGACTATCCCCCGTGCACTCCTCTGACGCCCGTAAAGTGGACCTTGTGAATGAACGACACGTTCTTCGTTTGGTTCGGTGCACGGCGGTCTTTAACACAGTTGTTACGGCAACTAAATCGAACCGATCCAGCTGAATAATATCGTCGTGCTATATTTTGTGTATCTTTAAGCGCGAAATACAGTATTCTATCAATCTGTCTTCGTATATTTGGAACTTTCATTGTTTAGTATGTCAGTAAACTTTTATACAAAGTTCCAAAGGCTTAACTTAATGAATACTAGCGACTCGTTCCGGCTATGCACGAGTAAACTTCATTTTATCGCGTTAACTTGTAGCCTATGTAATTATCATCAGTCTATTAATGTCCCCACTGCTGGGGCACAGGCCTTCCCTATTTAATGTATAGGGAAGGCCCATCGGATAGAATTAGGCCATGACTCACCACGAGGGCCCAGTGCGGACTGGTGGGGTACTAATGACTGTATCAATGGCTTGGCTTCCGAGGCACGGAAGAGCTCGACATTATAAATTTTTGGTCACCCATCCTATAACCAGCGATTGTGAGAGTTGTTTAAATCTCACGATCGCAGACCAAACGCGCTAACCACTTGCATCATCGAGCTCTTAAGGCCTATTAAAAATGCTGGGTAATATAGAGATAGTAGAAATACTTGTGAAAGAAGTTTTAAAATCCGTCTGTTTGTCAGCGGGGTGTATTGTATTATATCACATGAGCTGTAAAAGGTCTATTAAAAACAACGAAAAAAAAATTTTTAAAAGTCGCCAGTTTTTGTTTGAACTCATCAATAGGATAGGAGTGATGATGGGGCAAATTAAATGAAATTGTAATAAGTCTGTCAGGTAAAAAATTTTCTTTCGTCAGTCAAAGAAAAAATTTGAAAGATAAAGCGCGTCAATGTTTAGGAGTGGGGGCGCGTGACGTCACTTCTAAGTAAACATCCTACCAAGGCGTGACTTGTACTCATGCGACAATTCAAATCAATATAACTCTGTAATGTTTTAATTACTCTGAATAAAGAAAAAACACGTGTCCTCTCAGGTCATCATCTCAGGTAGATATCAAAAATATACGTATTTTGTCTTATATAGATGAAGAAAAAAAAGTTAGTCTTCATTCCTATTGGCCAATGCACGATTGGCACCCTCTAGAAATGAAATCAAAATGTAGGTCACTAATGCCTTCGTATGTCTTTTGACGTCCTGGCCACCTTAATCCCAGTGGGGTTACTTTAAAAAAAGGTGTATATATCACGGAGGGCGGAAACATTATTTTGTACCTTAGTTTGCTTGTTGGGTTTATACTTACACGATATTTTAATACTAGCTTACCTAAGTATTGAAAACTTTCCAGCAAGTAGTTGGTCTGTCAAATAGTCAGAAGGATAATAAAATTCGCCTAACAAGGACAAATTATATGCTGCTGCTTATCATTATAAAAAATATTATGTTCCCAATTCTGACGCGCAGATAATTAATATTCGATATCTCTTTAATATAGCTCGTTAAACATGATGATGTAACCAAAATATGGTTGAATTCTAAATTATTAAATAACTCGTGTATAATACTAACAGTTTTGTGTTGATATTCGTGTTGATAAGGGAAGTTTTTGCATGATGTGAAGGGAATTAATCACATTGATTCACATTTGAATTTTGTAAGAAGTAAATGTATCGAGAGCTTTCTTAGAATAAAGTTCACACTAAATTGTCAGGAAGTCAGATGCCGCTTATACCTACTACCAACCAAGCCATCTCAACAGTGCTTCGTCAATGTTGCAGGTGGCCGAAATACAACTGGCCACGACGCCCGAAGATAGAACAGCTTCCATTTCCGATATTAACCAAGCTATCATTTTATTCGGACTGACGGCGATGAGTCAGATAATACAAATGGGCATATAGGTTGTAGCGTGTCTGTCTGTTGTTCCAATTCTTAATTATAAGCTAGTTTTAAGTTCTCTTTGAAATCCTTTTTTTGGATTTTAACTTTTCAAAATTCTATGTTTATGGTATTGTCTCGGTATTTATTTACTCGCCGCTTCACGGCGGTTCTTTTTCTATGTTTATTTATTATACCAATCTTACATTTTTACTCATTTCCATATATAATATTTACTTATAATTTCGTATTGTTTAAAATATTGATTTTTCATATTGACGCTTCACGTCACTTCTGGATCATAACTTTTTCTCCACTTATAAATAGTTTATAAGTGCCTGCCGAGAGAGACCATAAACGTCTTCTTCGAAATTCAAAAATGTTTCTTTTGTTTTGGCTCGTTATATTAATTGCTTTTTATTCATTCGGATTTCAAAATTGAATGTCAGGCAATTCGGTATAAAAACCCTTAACGCCTGGCATCTTGATCTAGTCGTCGAGTTTCGCTCACAAACTACACACTGTAGTTCTGGCTGTTCTCGGGCCTTTGGCATAGGCCTGGGACTCAAGAAGGCTCCGATTTCCAAGTGCGTTTTCGCGAGTGTGCGTCCGTCTTTGAGCGCGACTCTTAGTTTTAGTGGCTCTCTCCCTCTCTCTCTCCTCCTTTTTTGTATTAGGCTTTGTACAAAATAAATTACTGCATTATTTACCATATTTTTATATCTTCTATATCTTTCCGTTACGTAGTTCTTTTTATTCTCTTCCAAAACTTTATATTTCTATTCTTTCTCTTAAGCCGGCGCTACACTCCCCTAACTCTCGTAGGGGAGTGTAACGTTACAAGCTATAGCCTTTATCCTCGCTTAAAGTCTAGATTTGTAATTATTTTTGAATTTTGATTAACGATATTAGGAGGCTGGGTGCCTTCTATTGGTGTTCATTGGTAATAATGATGCAAAAAGCGATATTAAAATATCGTTGGATGCAAATGCAAGAGATCGAAATCACAGATCGATTGTGGGCGATTAGCCCTTTTTATTTTATTTTTGAGATCGATGGCGCAGGTCGTTAGCGCTTTCGGCTGCGATGGTTGAAGTTGAGCAACTTTCGCAGTGGTCGGTCATTGGATGGGTGACCAAAAACCTCTATCTGAGGAACTCGCCTCCGTGCTTCGGAAAGCACGTTAAGCCGTTGGTCCCGGCTGCATCTGCAGTCGTTAGCACCCGCCAATCCGCACTGGGCCCGCGTGGCGGGTCATGGCCCAATCTCCCTATTCCATCCATAGGGCAGGCCTGTGCCCCAGCAGTGGGTTGGGATGATGATGATGAGTCCTTTTTATCCTGATGGGACTAAATCACTTTTAGTTATGATGACCACCTTTTGACCTAGAACTACCTAAAAATGTATAAGTCTAGTCCCCATCCGTCATCATGATATTCACCCAATGCACGCAAAAACCTACAAATAAGATATCAATTATTATTTCGTTTAAAGCGTTGTTGGGTGAAGATAGATAATAGTTCGCTTAGTACTTATCTTCGGTGCAGTCGGGAGGCGGTGTAAACAATAATCCAGCACTTCACAGTTAATAGTTTATTTATTGCACAAGCACAGAGGAAAGTATATATAATAGAAGGAGTACAGAGCACAGTCAGTGATAAACAAGCACAAAAGTATAAGGGAAAAGCACAGACAAAGCAACATAAACAATAATATGGTTGACTACGAGTGTCGGGGCTAGAAAGCGCGGAGCAATTTAGCGTGCGTACGGTGTCGAGTATAGGTTCCGACTGTCGTGAAACGTGACCTATGCGCGTGAGCCGGCAGGTTTGCCGAAGTAGGCGGCGAAGTGAGTGCGCGTGTCCATTCGCCACACGACTGTTATAGATCGGCTGATGCACGGCACGATATAGTGTAATTGTTTTGAGAATAAATGTATGTGCTTGTGATGACAGTATATGAATAAATTTAATAAATATTGTTTTATATTAAATGTAAATAATGTATATATAAGAAATGTTATTGTTTATTAATGTGTATATATTTCGTATTTAATTAATGTTTTATATTTATTTATAGTAATAAAATGTAAATACATATTATATAATATTTGATGTTTCTAAATACTTATATAATATGTATAAATGAGATTGTGGGAGAACCCCACATAACCCTCCCTCAGAGACCTGGTTAGGGTCGATAGTAATCTGGGAAACGGACGTGTCTCCCAGAGCGTGTGGTTTTTTGAGGCTGGGTTACAGTGGGTGTGTGTGTATTATGTGTATGTGTACCAATGGTGTTTGGAGGTGTGTATGTGTGTGTGTTTTGTGTCAAGTCTTCCTCGTCTGTAAGTATGAATGCGGGTATTAAGCGATCGACGCTCACGGTGACGGGATTACCTTTGACAAGAAGTTTAAAGACCTTGTCGCTTCTCTCTAATACCTTATGAGGTCCAGAATAGGCAGGTTGGAACGTCACGCGTGAAGCATCTTCTCGTAGAAAGACGTACTCGGCGGCAGCAAGTTCCTTGAAC